ATGGTCCCAGTCAATATGGGGATATTTGGCACCGCTCACTATTATGTAGTTTTAATTTTGATAGCCTCTCTAATTTCCCTTAGCATTTCATCATCACTATCACCGTCCTGGTCAGGTGGTCGATAATAGATCCCTAATGTTATATTCTTATTAGAGCATGAAATTTCTACCCATAGAGATTCTATGGAACATGCGGATTTGCTTAAGATTTTTACTTCATTTGATTCTACATTTTCTTTCACATATAGTGCCACCCTCCCCCCCCTCCCCCCGCACGACCTGTTCTGTCCTTCCGATCTGGAAGCCACTGGGTCTTATTATTCCTTTGGGCAGGTCTACACAACCACGGTAAATTAGTCTTAACTTACGCAACTTCAGTTATGTGAATAGCATAACTGAAGTTGAAGTTGTTAGATCCATTTACCGCGGGGGCTACATTGCGCTGTGTCAATGGGAGAGCATCTCCTGTTGACTTCGTTTACGCTTCTCAATGAGGTGGAGTAGGAGTACACAAATTGATGGGAGAGTGCTCTTCCATTGATTTAGCATGTCTTCACCAGACCCGCTAAATCGACACTCACTGCATTGACTGCAGCAGTACGTATCTACCAGCAAGTGTAGACATACCCTTTGTCTGCTAGACTGAAGAGTCCTCTATTCTCAAATTGCTGTTCCCCATGCAGATACTTATAGATGGTGATCAAGTCACGTCATAACCTTCTCTTTGTTAAGCTAAATCGTTTGAGGTCCTGGAATCTACAAGACCTTTACAATCCTTTAATAATTCTCCTGGCTCTTTTTTGAACCCTCTTGAATTTCTCAAAATTAGTAAACTCACACTCCCTGGGTAGAGTGACCAGACAGCAAGTGTGAAAAATTGGGACAGGGGGTGGGGGGTAATAGGAGCTATATAAGAAAAAACCCCAAAATCAGGACTGTCCCTATAAAATCTGGACATCTGGTCACCCTATCCCTGGGCTCAATAAAAAGGGTTATCCTAATGAAATCCCACTCCAATATTGCCTATAACATTTATCAAATTGGCAAATTTAGTTTACTAGATTTCAGCTTTAAAATCTAAAATTGGCAAATTCATAACATAGACATGCTCACCCATTAAGCACAAAACCTTAACAGTGACTTCGTAAACCTTACGACTTCATGACCTTCTTCATGATCGGTTATAGTTATATCAACAGCCCAGCACATCTAACTTGCATGTGGCCCATGTGTCTGTGAAATATTTCTGCCTTAACGCTGCTGAACTTAAAGGAAAATGAGACAATTCACCAGGGATGATTATTTTCTCTCTCATTATTCTCTCTCTGTCGATTCATTATTCAACAGTTCACCATGAAAAATGCAAATATAGCTTAGAGTTTAGAACTTAGAGTTTAGAACTTGTGTTTGTTTTTTTCCTGTTAATCTGAACTCTACCACCCAGCCTGAACCACAGTGTGGCTACCTCTGCACGATGATGATGAAGGATTTTTAAAAATCAATTAATTAAATAAATTCACAAAAAATATAAATACAGAAGAAACCCAGATAATAATCCCTAGGCTCTGACATAGCGCTTTTCATCTGTAGATCTCCGACTGGAAATAAGGTGTAAATGTTTAGCTGTGAGAGTAATTAACTATTGGAACAATTGACCAAAGGTTGTGGTGGATTCTCCATCACCAAGAATATTTAAAATCAAGATTAGAAGGTTTTCTAAATGATCTGCTCTAGTTCAAATACGAATTAATTCAGGGACGTTCTCTGGCCTCTGTTATACAGGAGTCAGACTAAATGATCACAATGGTCTTTTCTGGCCTTGGGATCTATGAATCAAAGCACTCTGAGGCCACATCCTTATCCCCATGTTACAGATGGAGAAACAGAGGAAAAAGGAGGTGAAGTGATTTCCCTAAGGTCTCCCAGCAAACCAGTAGCATGGCCAGGAATAGAAGCCAGGTCTTCTAGGACCCGGCCAGTTGCTCTAACCACTAGCCCACACAGTCTTCAGTGGTACTACCTATTTGGAGCCAATAAGCAAAGTGCTTCCAAATCATTATACCACAAATAATATTACATTTTGCGAGACAAAAGATCTACAATGTTCTTTCACAGAATATTTCTCTTGTAGACTCACATTTGCTTCTCTCCATCCTTCCTCAGCTGAGCGAAAGGCAGCAACCGCATGTCTTTTGAAGGTAAAGGGTCCTCTGCCTTTTCAAATGATTCCCTTTGAATTTCATACAGCAAAGGAAGCAGCCAGACCCAACACGTGCTCTTAGAGTCTTTGGCGCTTTGAATGCAAACATGTTTCAGAGCCAAAATACATTTGCTGCAATGACAGGGATGAAAAATGTTAAACAAACAAAAAAAAATTCCTTGTATTCAGACAAATTGTATCCACAATTATGTCAGTGCATCTCTTAATGAGTTTGAGCTTCAGCTGCAAACTGGATGGCTGGATGGATGACAGGGCAAAGATACTACATGCAGCTGCACAAATAGAGCCAAGGTCATTTTGAAAGCTGCGTGAATAATTGATGTTTTTGTTCCAAAATATTTGGGGGTGGGGTGGGGGGATACCTTTGGTTCAGGTTGAACCGAATCCAAAAATTCAAAAAAAAATTCAGTGAATCCAAAAAGTCCATTTTGGGTCAAATGAAACATGACGCTCAACCCAAAACAGTTTGTTTCCAGTCATTTTAAAGGGCGAGTCACAAACCAGCCAGAGGAAGACATGCTGCCTCTTTTATAACATTTAGTCCAGTAGTGAGGGCACTCACCTGTGATGCAGGAGACCCACATTTGAATCCCCACCCTGGAATGGGGATGTGAACCAAGGACTCCCCGGTGAGAGCCCTAACTGCTAAGCTATTCTGTGATGGCTCTCTCTGGTAGAAGTTTTGTATAAAATACTTGAATAGTCACTGGGCCAGATAAAGCAGACAAGAAAGAATTATTCTATAGCCTGGTGGTTCAGACATTCACCTAAGATATGGGAAAGCTAAATTCAAGTCCGCCTGCACCAATGTTTCCTGTTATAACAGGGCTTTAGTATATTACTTTCCTCAAGGTTAACCCAATGATGAAAATTTGAAACCAAGTTTGCTTTGAATCAATATTTGCACTTTTAATGTCACTTGAGGTCAAAATGTTAATTTAAAAAGAACATTTTTGTTTCAGCTCAACTTATTAAAATGAAAAATGTCACCTCAAACTGTTAAAACATCGTTTCAATCAGAAATTCTCAAGCTTTTCCATTGTGACATTTCCAAATAGAAGTTTTTCAGAACTTCCACTGCATGAACATTTTCAAGATGTTGACTTTTTGTCCCGCTTTGTAAATTTTGTTTTCTGATAATAAGGTTGCAATAGCTTGAAAGCTGGCAGATGTTCCTCCCCTCACATCTGTATATCCATCTTCCCAGGATTCAATGGGCATTCTACAAACCACAGGTTAAAGAATCCTGCACCTAAGACCATCACAGAAAACAGAGGTTTGGGATCTTTTGTGTCAACCACCTTCATGCAGATGGGGCAGCCCTGCCAGAGCTCTCACCCATCTAGGGGTAGCACCACTAGCAGCCAACTTGAGACCTGTTCCTTGAAAGCACTAATCCTCTGCTCCCATTGACTTTAAGGCTGTCAGATCTGATGGCTAGACTAGGTTTCCATCTGACTAATGTTAGAGGAGAGCTAGGACTCATTACCTGCCACACAGCAGCCCCTAAATTTGGTCTTGCTGGTTGGGATCGTGGTTGATAGGTGCTACTGCAGTACAAATAATACATTATAGTAATTGTCACCCTAGGGTTAACCTTAAAGAGGGTGATCTCATGCTGAGCCTCTATTATATATAATGAAAACCCATGAATAATTAACTCCTACTTTTAGAGCTGTGTGTTTTGCAAATATGTCAGTTCAGAGCATTTAAAGGGACGTTAACGTGTTACCTTTAAAACCACAGGGAGAGTTCAAGCAAATAAAATTACATATATAGTGAGTTAGAGATTACCTTTTTCTTGGTTCTTTCAGGTTGGTGAATTTGCCTTCCTGCGAGCCAACATTTTGGGCCATTTGTTCAATCTTGCTCATGGCCTCTGCACTTATATGGATACTGTGGTGAACTACTGTGCATAACACAAAGAGGAGAACATCCATCGCTGAAATGGTAGGATGCCGAAATCTGGGATTTCTGAGTACGTTTTCAATGAATTTGCGGATGTAATCATACACCTAGACAAACACAGTAATAACATGTACATTTTACCAGAAGTGTCAGACATGCCTGAAATAAAGTTTTCCCAGCATCATCTCAACTGCACTGGCCAGTAGATAGGGATGGATGATGGAGGAGGTATTTGCCATTACTTGCAGAGTGGAAAGGTGGCCTTGCGGCTAAAGGCCCTAGCATCGCATTTAGGAGACTCATGTTCAATTCTTCCCTTTGCTACAGACTTCCTGTGTGACTTGCTCAAGTCAGTTAATCTCAACCTTTTCTATTTCGATTGTAAGATCTTCAAGGCAGGGACTGTTCTTGAGTTTGTGACTGTGCAGCACCTGTGTGACAGGACCCCAAACTCGGTCACTGTGTGCTTATGCGGTGCCTGGTGTGACAGGGCCCCAATTTAAATTGCTGTGTGTTTGGGCAGCACCTAGCACAATGGAGCCCCCATCTTGGTTACTACGGCCTGGTCTGCACCTAAAACTTAGGTTGGCCTAGCTATGTCACTCAGGGGTGTGAAAAGTGTACACATCTGAGAGATGCAGTTAAGCTGACCTAAGCCTGGGTGTAGACACAGCTAGGTCAACAGAAGAATTCTTCCATCGACCAAGCTACCACCTCTTGAAGGAGTGGATTAACTACAGAGATGGGAAAACACCTTCTGTAGCTATAGGAAAGGTCTACCCTACGGCGGCACAGCTGCAGTGCAGTAGCTGTACTGCTGTAGCATCTGTAGTGTAGACATAGCCTATGTGTCTACATAGCCACGTCTCACTAAGGTATGAGTGCCTTTGTTAGAACCGTACAGACGATGGAAGTTCTGCTTTGTGAAGGATTTTGAAATTTGGCTTCATTCTGAATTAGAACAAAACCCAAACATTTCAAAGCCCACATGAGTAGAGACACTGTCTGTTTGTTTTCTGTCAGAAGAAGCTGTAAATACGGATTCAAGGAAAGAGCCTTCATCTCTGGACTGTTTGGCTCTTACAGGGAAGTGTACCAGATGTAAAGTGGAGATCACCAGAGAGAATCTGGGTACCCTGAAAGACTTTTGGGAAACTGGCAGTTTATTACATCACTGCCAGTTTGGAATTACAAACTATGATTCACACGAGCATATATTTTATCTGCTTTAACCTCTCAATAACTCTCATTTCCTTTTCTTAGCTAATAAACTTTTAGTTTACTATAGGATTGGCTGCCAGCGTGGTCTTCGGTGTAAGATCTGGAATACCAATTGACCTAGGATAAGTGACTGGTCTCTTGGGACTGGGAGCAACCTGATGTGGTGTTATTTTTGGTTTAAGTGACCATTTATCACAAAGTCCAGGTTGTCTAGGTGGCAAGATAGACTGGAGTGTCTGAGGGGACGCTCTGTGACTCCATGGTAAGACTGGTATAGTGATCCGGGGTACACATTTGCCACTGGCTTGGTGAAATCTAATTATAGAACACACCAGCAGTCTGGGTGGGGAGTCTGCCCTGTTTTCTGACAGTCGCCTCTGAGGTCAGCACTCACAGTTGTCAGCCACTCCAGGCAATGTGACAGTGCTGCTCATTGTGTTCTATGTTTTAGAAACCCCCAGAAACTAGCCAGAGCAGCTGTGTGCGTAGCTGGGACTGATGTGTCTGTGTAGAGTTAGTCAACATGGCTATTTGGGACCTAGCTGCACCTGTCTGGATTCTTCATATAGTTATTGTGTAAAGATCAAGTGACACAACAGACGGTCTCTGCCCGATGACTGGTTTAGGTATTAGATGTAAGGGACCGGGGCACAGGCAGTCTTGCCCAGTGGTCGCAGCTGGGCTGAGGTCTGCCCACCGGGGGCAGGAGTCCCCAGCCAGATCCCATAAACAAGAGTTAGGGTCAGAGTCAGGCTGTGGTTGGGGACCGGAGATCAGAGGTAGTACCAGGTTGGAATCGAGAGGCAGGAAGCAAAGTCAAAGTCAGGCTGGAGTCAGAGACCAGGAGACAAAGCAAAGTCTGGCATTGCAGCAGGCCAAGATCTGTGTCGTTTCCCAAACAAATTCCTTGGACAACACCTGGGGTTAATAGGGGCACTTGGCCAAACAGAGGGCTGCAGGGTACTCTCATTCTGGCTCTTGTGGGTGGTACTTCCTGTGGCACCTACTCTCCACAGTGCTCCCTGGATGTGTCTTTGCATGGCCTGGGTTCTAGTCCCCAGGCCCTTACATTAGGGGATGATTAGAGCACAGGTTTGTCACACTGCAGAAAAAGTCACAGATACCAGGATTTCTCAGTTTGTCCGTGACTTCCTGAAGATGGGTCACCGGCTCAGCGCTAAAGGGAGCATGTGATGGGGAGGCAGCAGGGCCAAACCTGAGCAAATGGTGCTGCAACCACATGCACTAGATCACAACACCCAGAGAGGGGAGCTGGGGACCAGCCACACAAGAGCTGCCTGTGCCTGGGCGGGGTGCAGGGCAGGTTTGCCCCCTCCCCAAACTGAGATTCGGGTTGTGGTGCTGGGGCAAAGGGGGCTGCTATGGGTGGTCAATGCCCCCTCATTTGTCAGGGCATCATCTATCCAAATTCATGGAGCAGACACTAAACCTATGAATTGTATGATAGTTACCATGACTGCTCTGTGATTTTTGATAAAAAATGCCATGACACATCTGCAGCCCTCATCCTAATGAATGAGATTTTGCCAGATTTAAAGCCACCCTGCCTTTTATGGAGGCAGCTTGTTCAAGAATAGACTCTGTAAATCAGGTCCAAAGCTGGTAGAGATGATTCTGGTGGCAGCCCAATCCAGCTCCTATTAAAGCAGAGGGAAACCCTTCCATCTCAACAGGAGTTAGATTAGGCCGTTAGGATCTCATCCAAAGCCCCTGAAGTCAATGGAAAGACTGCCGTAACTCCACTGGGCTTTGGAGCAGGCCAGGAGGCTGGAGAGGGAAAGAGCAGCAAAAGGAACGTTCAGATTTTAATGGTTCTCGGATCATTGTCAATGCACCATGTGGAGGTAGAGCTACCTCCAGAGAGGTTCAGTGTGGGCCTTTCCAGCTACTGTGGAGCTGCCATGTCAGATGGGCATTGCTCACTTACCTTTCTCTCATCAAAGTCAGTTTCATGATCATTTATTTTTTGCTCGGCATCACCAATGTTGCTGGTTTTGAAGCACTCCTTGTAGCAGTCAAGCTTCCTTTCCACATCACCGATGTCCTTTCGGAGAGAAAGTTCTTGGTGTAGCTCATTTTCCAGGAATTGCAGGATAGACTCACTAGCATTCTCTTTGGACTTTCCTCTTGATAAAAAGCCAAACCAGGACTTTTCTGGAGACTGACAGATGTCATCAAATTGGGTCCACACTCCTAGTGAGAAATAAACATGTATACACCTTCAAATAAATGCTTGTAAACTTTCAAACTTGCAAGGGGGCAGACTGTGGGAGCAAGCAATCCACAATCGTCACAGAGTTAACGTTTTCATTTGCCATTTTATAGTGCTGCTTGTGCCATTCATCTAATAGATTCCAAGGCCAGCAGGGCCCTTTGTGCCCATCCAGCCCGACCTCCTGCCTAGCTCAGACCAGAGAATCTCCCTCAGTGATTCCTGCCTCCAGCCCAGTAACTCCTCGCTGAGCTGGAGCGGAGCTTTGTGAAAGGGACGTCGCATCTCCACTGACAGACTCCCAGTGACACAGAATCCATCCTGTCATAGGGGAGCTGATCCAAAGGCTAACTCTTTCCCCTAGTAAACACTGGTCCCTTATTCCCAGACTGAATTAATCTCCCTTCTGCTCCCAGCCATTGGCTCTCGCTCTGCCTTTGTGAGCTTAAACTGCCCTCTCCTCTCAGAAATCTCTTCCCCACGTAGGCGCTTGTAGATGAGGATCATGTCACCACCTCTTAATCTTCTCTTGGACAAACAAAATAGATCAAGCTCCTTCAATCTCTCACTCTAACACCTCAGATTGTTCTCGTAGCTCTTCTCTGAGTCCTCTCCAATTGGTCAAAGTCCTTTTGGATGTGCAGACACCAGAACTGGACAATGTGGATACTAGAACAGGGCTTGAGTCTAGAGGAGATGGCCGGGCCATAGTTCCATCTCCTTCCCATGTCCCCGCTCACATTATGGCACTAACACAGAGGAGGGAGTAAGCTGCAGTTCACGAAGATGTGCAGCTGTCGCCAATGTAGTTCTTCTAGTGTAGACCGGCCCATAGATTCATAGATTCCAAGGCCAAAAGGGACCACCGTGATCATCTAGTCTGACTTCCTGTCAGACAAGCCAGAGAACGGCCCCAAAATAATTCCTAGAGCATATATTGTGCATATATATGTACAAGAATTGGGCACATCCCACATGCCCCTGGACTCTCTGGGAGATACTTTGCCTCCCAAAACCAAATTGTTTCCTGGAGCTCTCCTAATTATGGGCTACATCTAAATGGAACAGTATCATTCATTACTTACTGGGCTGCTCAAAAATGTTTCCACCTAAATTTATTTTTGATGTGAAACTGACTAGTCAACCAAACAACGAATTGCACTGAAAATGTTTTATTTCCTTGATTATTTTTTTTTCCATTGGAAAACCCAAACCCTGAAAACTGAACATTTATGGCGGAGAACCCCCATTTTTTCCCCTTGAGACAAAAGCCCCATTTTCTAACCAGCTCTAATTATTTATATCGTAAAAGCACCTGAATGCTCCAGTCATGGACCAGGATCCCACTGCATTAGGCACTGTACATTACTTATTGGGTGTATTATGGTACTGTCTAGGAGCCCCAGTCACAGAGCAGGCTAAGCGCTGTACAAACACAGTCCCTGACCCAAGACCTCACAATCTAACACCCAACAATGACCATGGAGATTCTGTGCTAAAACACTGACTGCACACACTGCCCACGTTTTCCATTTATTCAGCCTGATTCTCATGCCGCTGTAAATCAGAAATGACTCCACTGAAGTCAATGACATTACAGTCAGACTCACTTGTACTTATACTTGGAGAGCCTGCAAGCCTGCACCTTCCATCATCATTTTCCACAGGGCTACATGTGATTCTTACCTCCTGGTCTGATGGCTGAATCAGGCACAGTTAGAACTCGATGGGACTCAGACTTTTCAGTTTTTTGCACTGTTTTATAAATATGCTCTAGTTGAATTCTTCTTGGATCAACGTAGGTGTCAATAACCCCATATTTATAATAGATGGGTTGTCTGCTTTGTAGATTAGAAGCAGGAATTTTTGCGTGGCCTACGATAAGGAACCCGTAGTTATTCTTGAGCCTAGGAAATTAAAACAAAACAGAAGAGTTGGCTGTTTATTTTAAATCAAATAAATAATCAATATATTATATATTACATATAATTTAATTATATAATGTTAACTAATAAATTCAATATTTAAAAAAATTAAATCAAATAAATACATTTAAGTTTATTTTGAATAAAGAGTGTATTTTAAATCAAAGTCAATAGCAACCTCCCCTTCCCCTCAGTGGGCTCATGATCAAAGCCAAATAAGGCCTCGATTCTTCAGTGCGATCAGTGCAACAAGACCAGAGTTACCAGCACTCAGAATTTATTTCAAGCTGAGAATCTCAGCTCTCATTAAAACAAAAAAGTAGGTTCTATCCCTCATGACTTCAGAGAAAAGCTTGAAAATGTGACCTGTAAAGGTTGAGAAACCGGAAGATAAATAAAATGAACCCGTGATGTTTATTTTGTAAAAATCCCATGATTTTCAAGCCACTCTCATGATTTTCGAGGACTTTCTCATTTATTAGCTGAGAACCTCAGCTTCTTTTTTTTAAAGTAAGTTTCTAGCGCTCACAGTTGCTGAGAAAAGCTTGACAATGCTGATGCTAAATGCTCCGGCACTAGGAAGCAAACAGAAAGATCTGCAGATTTTACATTTTTTTAAATCTCATGACCTTTAAGCCAATTTCAAGATTTTGGAGGGCCTTGTAGGAACTATGGTTTTAAATTAAGTTGGGATATTAGCATAAGCAATGGGCCCAAAGTATGTGACCAAAAAGAATGAGATAACGAGAAAGAAGAATTATTGTGTTAAACTTGCAGTGACCCTTTGAAATACCAGTGTTATCTTATTTAAGGTTTGGGCTGAAGTAATAGAAATAAAACATGGTTAATTGAGTACCAGGTGCAATAAATTATTGGCTACATAAGTTTGTTTTATGTATTATAAAAAAAATGCTTCATCTGGCCTTAGCTATGGTCGGATAATGGGCAGTGACATCACTTGTTTGTTAAAGTGTATAAAAAAGTAACTCTTGAAGGGCTCATTGCTGATACCTGTCTGACCAAGTTGGAGATGACCAATATGGGTCTAAGCGCTGCTAGGTTTAGCTCATTTGTAAGTATCTTGTTCAAATGCTTATAAATAGTTTGTTACTATCTGGATGTAGTACATTTCTTCTTATTTAGGTTTTTAAGGCATGTTTAGAGCAACTGTTTAAGTACCATTTGGAATTTGGATTTATTTAATAGAAGAATTTATGGTTAAATTAGTATCATGGTATCACCCTGCATAAATAATAAAATCTTCCTTATCAACCGGGTGCAATGTGGCTGAGATATAGTGCTTAGGGGTCAAGCTGTTAGAAGTATCCCACACAAATTCATAGGTGTCAAAGCCCATTGTGCCCATCAGCCCGGCTTCCTGCTTAACCCAGACCAGAGAATCTCACCCAGCGATTCTTGCTTCCAGCCCAAAAACCCCAAAACGTCTGAGTGAGCTAAGGGAAGCTTTGAGAAAGAGACCCCCAGTGATGGAAAATCTACCTCACCCCTAGATAATTGCATTAATTTCCCTCAAAGCGTTATATTTTCTGGAGTCTGGCTTTCCCAACAGGTTTGACATGTGACCTTGATTAACCCCCTCCAGGCCAAAGTTGTCAGACATGGCCTCTGACTGTGAGTGCCTCAGTTTGGAGGGAAGTGGGGCTGATTTGAGGCACCTTGGGTCTGATTTACAGGAGTATGAGCCCCTGCAGCCCCCACTGACTGTAATTAGGGGTAATGTGGGTGTGCAGCCCCTCTGAATATCAGGGCCTACGGGCCTCAGGCTAAGCCCACCCCAAAGCAACTGAGGCACTCGTGCTCCAAGGCCACTGGGGAAAATGTTGGCCTCAGATCAGTGGATTATATAGAGGTCAAATCCTCAGCCCCCATCTCCTTCCTGCTGTATAACCCGCTGGTGAGCGAGTGTTACAGATAGAGTTACCAACTTTCTCATATTTAAAAATTGAACACCCCTGCCCCCGAAGCCCCATCCCTGCCTCACTTCTTCCTCTGAGGCCCCGTCCCTGCCCCACCTGTCCCCCATCCCACCACTTGCTCTCCACACCCATCCCTGTTGCTCGCTTCCCCATCCCGGAACTCACCTGCCACCTGCAGAGCCAGGCTGGGAGGAGCTGACGCAGAGCCTGCCCGATCAAGACCCAGCGGGGCACGGCAGGAGTCAGTCCCCAGAGTGAGGGGCTGGGGTGGGGAAATCGGGGCACAGTGGGTCGGGGGAGGAGGGCAGCCAGGTTACACACACACCCCAGACAGTGCTGGTACCTACTTTGGAGCCCAGTCTGGGAGCCAGCCAGTTCTCTCCATCGGGCTGGGGGGCGGGAAGAGTTAAGCAGAACTGCTCCTCCAGGTTCCAGCAGCAGGCACTGCTCTTCCCTCTCCCCAGTGGCGGAGGACGGTTACTGCAGGTAACCAGACCTTTAGCATCTGGGCAGCTGTGCTGACCGGACGCTGCCCGTTTCCCTTTTCGACTGGACATTCCGGTTGAAAACTGGACACCTGGCCACCCTTGTTACAGAGTCCCCTCTGTGCCAATCCACAGAGGAAACAAGACTGCTACAGCCACTAGCTGTAGGGCATTAGTAGCATGTGCTGTAGCAGCATGGGCTTTTCATTCTGGCGGTTCCCTTGTTCAATCCCCAGCGTGTTGGCTCTTACACTCCTCCCGTGGCTCACAGGAGCCGGATACACCTCTACCCCTGCTGCGGGGCTATAGCTAGCTGTCATAACTGGCTCTGTGCCACTCCATTTTGACTCCTGGACCTACTCAGAGTGGATATGATGGGGGTGTGGCAGGTCACTTTGCTCCCCAGCAATCCCAGGCTGATTGTTCCAGGCCACACAAGTCAGAGCTGCACTAAGTTGTGCCAGGGGCCAAACCATCCCTGGACTGCTCCCAGGAATGGGGGAAACTGAGGTCACAGTTGCCAAAGTCTCCCTCCCACAGAGGTGCCAACTGGAGCTGTGGTGGTGGACATTTGATTCTGCCCTTGCATGTCATCATGGCTGCCCCTCCCTTACTCCGTTCTCAGTCCAAGTTGGTTTCTACAGGCCAGTGGTGACTTTACCTGTGGGAATTCCCCAGCTGCTGCCTGAAATGTGTCTCATTATCACATCCTGCCACCTCCCCCACCAAGAAAGATCTAATGACCCGTCAGTGTAATCCAACTCCAGCGTCGTTTTACCTTCTTTCCATCCTAGCCAATTCTTGGTATGTCCCGGGATGACTGTAGGCTGCAGCAACAATCTTGCCAAACGGTTCGTTCACTTTAAAATGTTCAGGCCACACAGCAACAAACTCCAGAGTCATCATGTCTTCCACTGAGGAACTGGTGCTTAAAACATATGGATCCTCTGATAAAACACTAGAAAAAATGAAAATGCCATAAGATAGTCTGCAAACCGTCTTCCACCACAGCCCCCCAGGCATGAAAACCATGAGCAGCGAGGCCCCTCCCCTCTCCCCAACTATGCCCTAAAAAGAGGAGAGAGGGTTTGGAATTAAGGCACTGAAGTAGGACTCAGGGGATCTGGCTTCAGATCCTGAATAATCTTAGGCAAGAGATTTCATCTGCCCCTTCCCTGCTTCCCACCCTTAGTCTTCTTCTTACTCCTTAACTAATCACCTCCTAACAAAACCCTCCCCAAACAGAAACATGTGGCACTAACATGACATTTGCCAACCATCCCGCTGCTGTACAGTGCATCCCAACTCCTCTCATCTTGTCTATTTCAACTATGAACCATTTGGGGCAGAGAGTGTCTCTTACTCTATATCTGTGCAGTCCCCAGCACAACAGAGACCCAACTTTACTTGGTTCCTCTATAACTGTAATAAATACCCTGTGGCTCAGTTTCCCATCTGGGAAGAATAACCCTTCCTCCGTATTTTATATAGTTTCCTCATGCCCCTCTTCTAGGTCTCCTTTCCAAGGTAAGTAACCTCAGTCTTTTCATTCTCTCTTCTCCTGAGAGTGCAAAGCAGGTGGGAAAGGCGAGCAGATGGGCATGGGAGCTTGTCCTACCTATTCTGCACTCAGTGTACACAGCGGTAAATGAGTACACAAGGGATAAGGATGTGGACAATCAGGCCCTGAAGCTCTACTTTAATCAGAAATTGAACACAGCTTAACTGCAGATTGGCTCTTGGTGCCCCCATAACATTTCTATGGGTTAAATCAAAGCTCTCCTACACATGCTATCACATTCGTTCAAAGGTTTTAAGGACAGAGAATGCATCCAGCCTGGCCCCCATGTAATCATCCCCAGCAATTCCTGCCTTCGGCCCAATAACTCCTGCCTGAGCTGGAGCAGAGATGCCCCATCTCCAATGACACACTCCCAGTGATGGAGAATCCACCCCGTCTCTCGGGGAGCCGTTCCAAGGGTTAATTTCCCTCCTTGTTAAACACTGGCTCTTTGTTACCAGTCTGAATTTGTCTCCCTTCAGCACCTGGCCAGTGGATCTCGCGCTGACTCTGTCTGGGGAGAGCCCTCTGCTCTCAGCAATCCCCTCCCCATGTCGATGCTTATAGACCAGCATCATGTTACCTCTTAACCTTCTTAACTGCATAGATTGAGCCACTTCAGTCTCTCACTCTAAGGCAGGTTTTGTAGCTCTTCTCTGAACCCTTGACAATTTGGCAACATCCTGTTTGAGCAGGGCCGGTGCAACCATTTACGTGACCTAGACGGTTGCCTAGGGCACTAGGATTTGAGGGGGGCACCATTTTCTTCGGTAGTGACCACGGTGGCCGCATCTTCGGCCGCCCCGGTTGCCGCCGGCATTTAGGTGGAGGGAGCAGGGGCAGTGGAGCGCGGGGAGGGCCGCTTGCAGAAAGTAGGGGGGGCGGCA